AATACAACTATCACCTGCTCACAAAGTCTCTAGATGTTTTTGAAACACAGTGGTGTATTAATGACGCCATTGCAATCCTGGATGACAACTCTCTGATAATCCCCGATATCTTAGACAATGGCTGAATAATATCCTTTTTAATTGTACAAACCCGCCTTTTCAATTGCTTTTTATTAGATTTATTGTACTTTTAAGTATTTTTAGAATTGTAATTATTTGAGTGTACAACCGTTTGTTATTTTTATTGTTCAATGTCGTACATGTCTTTTACTCACCTCTCGTCACTTGTTTACCTGTTTGTAACCTCCACTAATCACTTGTAATCGTTTAATCGTTTTTATTTTGAACCGAGAAATGTGTCAAACGGATGACTGTTATCCCGATGGCACAGGGCAGGGGGGTTCGATTCCCCCATTGTCCGTGCCACTTGGTGTTGGCCTGCCCGCGGGGTTTTCTTGGTTTTATTTCTCACTGTCCAGTCGTTATTGATTTATTATTTATTATTATTATCCACTCAGTTTGATTAACCAATAAAACGTTTATTAAAGTATCTACTAAGTATCATTATCTCGTCTAAACATTTAGTTCAATGTCGCTAGCACCATTCACACGACAAGACACATCAACGAATTAGCTGCGCGCCTCCTAGCGTCATTTGCTCAGATAATTGTGCCTAGATTTTGACTTGCGCTGACCTAAAGTGCAATGCAATGCCTTTGATTACAATACAATTCCATTATATAATTCTACTTACCAGGACAAACTTTGATCGGCGGGATCCCCACATCCAAACATTAACATATGATGTGCTATGTGCATATCAGCATGTGGGATGAATTTAGCTAATAACGAGGAATGACAATACACACAATATGTGTTAGTAGGAATAGCACAGTACTTTCCAAAAAGCTGCAATATCAATATAAACTGAAGCAAGCAGGTAAAAGTCAATATTTATCAAAATTTATATCAAGGCGCGACTTTTATATGCAAATTCGAAAATAAAATTGGTTGCATTGCATCATTCAAAATATGCCTGTCTGGGTTAAGCGGCCTCCATTAAACCGCGATTTAACAATTTGTAGTTTTTAAGACTTCTAAAATGCCAGAATTTCTTCAAAATATACCTATATAGTTGTATATGTTTTAAGTCAGAAAAAGCACTCATGCTCCGACTTTTCTGAAATAGAAAGTCCCCCTCATAATAAAATGTCACTGTTTGCGATCAAAAATGTTATCTTGGGTAGGACTTTATATCCTAGAAGAATCCTCATAATGTGTAATCCAAGGGTTAAAGAAAAGAGAAACGTAAGCTTACCCATACCATACCATTTTAATCAAGTTTGAATTACTTTTAAGTACTTTGAATTAAACTCAATTAAAATGCAACCCTACAAAGTGTGGTAATTAAAAGCCAGTGTACAAATTATGAAGCTAATACTATTTCAGTTCAATATGCATATGTACTCAACTGTAGAACTTTGCAGTTGACAAAGATATTACTGAAAGTAATATGTAAGCAATCCAATATAGAAATGCAAATCATATGTCAATTACAGAATAATAAGGTCATACATACTGATATAAACGTCTGGGTTCTGTGTCATATTCAAAGCTGTGCATACAAAAGCATCATGCTGAGAATAATAATAAAAAGAAGAAAATATTTTATCGAACTGTAATATAAATCATTTCATACCAGCATAATCTAGTCCAGGAAAATAGCCCTACGTACCTCCATAGACAAAGTCCGTGAGCGCACCGGAGTTGGTGCGCAAGTTAAAAATAAGTTTCCCAGCCAAAATCGGCTGAAATGACGATATAGTTATCCGTAACAACCACTAATTATCTGAAACTGAAATGTTTTTAAAAAATACCTAGTAAAGATGGAAAAATTGTAAAATCAAACGTTGCCATTTTTAATTTAATTCACGCGGGAGAATCGTTTGTTTTTAGGGCAAAGTATCCGATTTCATCCACAATTAGATTCCGAACTAGGAGTGCTGGATATAAGTGTTAATTGATCATCGTTTTTGGTATCTTGGCATGCTATTTCATTAAAAAAAAATGTCCCACACTTTGTCTATGGAGGTACGCAAGGATGTGGTGGGGGACATCTATCAACTGAACGCGCCCCGTTCACACAGCACTGTACGCAGGGCTACAGTAGTGACAGACTCTCTCCGTATTTGAATATTGTTCAATTTCTACACCAAGAACGGATTATAGGAGAAGGCAATTTTATGTTTTCTTGTTAAACTTGCACAAACGCTTCCTCCTGATGTTTACATCGTCTACGGATTTGTTTCAAATTACACATGTCTTGCTGCTTGTCTGTGGCGACAAAACTACCTTGCTAACTTTCTATCTCGGTGTTGTCGCGGTCAAATCCGTTGTCATTTTTATGAGTGAAATAACTAAACCCTATCACCACCACCACTATAATTCTAATCTACACTACACTACACAACACTACAGTTCTAAACTACAAGATACGACTAGCATTAGACGTGTTTCCGTGGAATCATCCGCCATTTTCAATGTGACCCAATGTGACCCAACCTTTCACCCGCCCTCTCATGAATAATCAATGACATCATGAATAATTAACAGCCGTCAATTGCCTGCAAATGCGCCCAGTCACGGTCAAGCTAGTTTTCACGATCACGCTAAAATGGCGAAATTGAAAATTAATTATATTTTTTTTTTGTAAAACAAAAAAGAAGTCCCGACTTTGCCAATCTAACGCTAGTGATACGACTAGACATGTTATTGGATAACGAGTGGAGTCAATGTCATTGGCTGTATAGAATGCAGTTTCGCACAGTGTCTTGAGTCCGTCTGGTGATATGTTTCATTAAAGAACGTAATGCTTTCGTTTTGATATGTCCGCCCGCCCGTCATATTGTTTGTCGCACCTCGGTTGCTATGCTTATGCAATTGTTAATGTATACCCTTTCTCTATATCGTATATTTGTACGCTTGGAGTAGTGACTATTTGGCGAAGTAGTGTGTTCACAGATACATCAGGCGCAGTTCTAAAACATATATTTTTTACGGTACACCAAATTACTGTCTCCTTGACCCTTACCGGCTGTAATCTACAAATATCGTCCGCGTTATTACGACTTGTTGAATGAATTCTGACAATAGAGTAAAACACCCAATTGTTCATAACACTCCAAACAAGGCAATTGCTTGGGTTAGACAAACAGTTCCTCTAATCTGAACAGCTTTACTATATTTGTTCAATATATAACAGATTTACTTATTGGTGATAACAATACTCCCGCTCAATTGGTTAAAGCAATAAAATGAAAATTATGGGCTCGACATCACACAGTGGATTTCACTCAAACCTGATTTTGATACAATGTTGTGTATCAATATGTACCTTAAGTGGTGAAACATTAGGCATGCGAATATCCAATTCGATTCCTTCACAGTACGACTGCATCATCAGTAGCACGAATATCCAAACAGTGAAAACAACCGCCATGTTGACGCTGGTATATTTAAAGAATACAAAGGATTAAATCGATATCGGCGGGTTTTAGTGACGTCACATACCCCCTATGCTGAAAACAACATTATAAGATCATAGCAGTGTGCAAACAGCCATTCAGTGGTAGAAAAAACATGAATGTGAAATTTATTTCACAGTATTTTTCCTTACATAGTTGTTGTTTGATTTTTTTGTATTTCCACGAATTGATACTTTGCGTTTTAGTCTGAAATACAAGTTATTTACATAATGCACAATTAGCTTTACATGAAATTACATCAAATATACATTCCTATTTTGTTTTCCCAATACAATACTGATATATTATCGTCTATTTAAATATTCCAATATTCATGGCATATATAATCTGTTGATTCTATATATAAGATATTAACTGTATAATCATGACAATATATGCAAAATTATTTCTATCCTCTACCGATCAATTTATTTGTTTACAGATCTGTGTAAATACATAGAATATACACTACAAGAGGACAGATATGTGGATGTGGGTGAATAGTTATATATACAATTTGGATTAAAAATAAATTACAATTAGTCTTAAAAAAGGACATGCACCATGTAACAGTTGAGAGATTGCTACGATAAACTGTTTCTTGTTTTTAATACGTGTTTACCCCTCACCAGAGAAGCAAGAACAGTCAGAATATGAATGAACTACTTTGTAAAAAAAATCCCCTATCAGAGAAACTTCTCCCGGTAAATGAAAATGAAATGTTACAAATTTGCAGTAGATGGATGCACTAAAATGTACTTTCAAATTCAATATAATAATCATAGACAGTGCCATCAACACAATATAAATTATATGATCATTGTAATCATTGTATTGTTTGTGGTTAAAAAGATGCCATTTTCAAACCAGCAACCTGCTGTAAAATTGCTAGATATGCTACTTTATTCACCAGGCTAGCAAGCATTTTGATTAATATAAATATTAGAGCTATTCAAAAACGTACAGTAAATGCGACATGTGATAACAATCCATGGCTTTCAGTTGATTTAAAGGCAGCATAACTGAAATGAGGGAACTGACAGAGACGTAATAAGTTATGAAATATTATAAAAAATAAACATGATTTATTAACATGGGCAGAATTCTTAGAGGTCAACATTAGCATGTGATGCATCATTAATATGTGAAATACTCACATGATTAAAAAGGTGTTTATGCATCTGCTGTGAATATTCATCTTGGTGTTGAGCTCGTTAAAGTGACATACTTCAACAATACTTAATTTAACACAAATTTGACTGATGAGTTTATTGGCAAGCGACTATTGATTGATCATGTTATAGTTTGAAGTAACATGACCATTTAACCAAGTTCCAGATCATACAATAGAGAAGAGGGAATACAGGGACAGGCAACTGCAAAAGAATACAATGAGGCTCTTTTGCAATATATTTACGACAGACTAGTGTGAGAATCGACGAATGAAAAAATCATATTAGTGTTTATTTGCATCTATGAGTCACAAGGTAATTATCCTGCTGACTGTTAACTCCCACCCATTTCATAATCTGTTTTCAAAAATATGATGTATCAATTACATTCAATAATCATGACAGGTGAAATCCGTCCATCGAAAAGCATAATTAGAATTTTCGTGGATTTTATAGATGTGTCAATATATTTATCATTTTTGTTTCACTGGACAGCGCAGAATGGGCAACATTTAGCAGAACCTGGACAGGAAGAGTCATCTGGAGAAATTGGACAGAAGGACACAAAAGAAACTGAAAAAAGGATTGAAGTGTTTTGAATGTGCAATTATGGTAGTTGAGAACAAAACATCATACCAATGCCAGATAGATTTGTAAGATCACATGGGGTAACACCAACAAAGTACTTTCATCAATGGAGATTGACCAGGGGTAGCGGTAATCTGATTAACTAGTGGTAAGCATTTGGAGACTAATCCCAATAAATACATACAATGTGGTGTGGATGAAATGAGTCTCAGGAATTAATAACCTATTCCTAAATACGAGAATTCGAGATATTGAGGTGAGGCTTTTGATATTTGTGTTATGGAGTAGATTATATAGTGTACATTTAAAAATGTATGTGAGGCCACAGATTCATGTTGAAAAATGAATTGTGTGTTAAATTCAGAAATCTTCCAGTTAGCAGTGCGACATTGTATTAATGCTGAGTATTTCATTTGCTTTAATACTGCAGGATTGAAATGACTGATTGACGCCTTGATAATCAGTCAATAATCTAATTGGAGCAAATTCGGCGATCGCAATACAACCAGATATTGATTGACAGTGTGGTACATGTACAAGTTATGAGTGTCGTGACGTTTTGAGACAATGGGAGTTCAGTAATAGAGTGTATACATAAGATTGTCAAGGGAGGGTGGAAGTCCTCCCCCCCAAAAAAACCCCACTAAACTTGACATCACAATCGCGTAAACCGACGTAAAGAGCGCATTATCAGTGTAAAATGAGTGCGGAAACAATTTGCCTTTCAGGGCTTAGTGTTTTTTTTAGCTGGTTATCACTGGTTTTGGAAATGACTACCTTAAATGTTAACATTAATTCCAGGCGCCCTACTAAGCAGATTAGAATTTGTACTATTTGTATTTGCATGGTATATTATCGGTCAATCCTAAGAAACAGCAATCTTAGGGATCGAAATTACATGCACAAATGTACGTCGCCAATGTTGCTTGTGTTGTGTCAATGTCCTTGCGACTTTTATTATTTACTAAATGCCCGTCAAATAGGTAGTGAAGCTGTGAGTACTAGTAATAAGTTGTGTAGTTTTCCTTGCACATGTGCAATGCTTAAAACACAATATCAAATGAAAATCAAACTAAATTGTTACAAGTGGCTACAGAGATCACCAGAAATACGTTATTTGATTGAATATTAGTAATATATGTAATGATCTATAGTTAACACTACAAATTCAGTACGCAACATCCAGAAGTCTAGAAAAGCTTTTAAAAAACATCAAACTCCAAATTCTAAAGTGATATTCGTCGCTTGAATTATGTGTGCACTGTAAATATGCCATCATTAGTTGGTCTCTGAGAATGTGTAAAGGGTTGCTTGAAGTGTGAGCCATTGTATTTTCAAATAATAGTCGTAATGAGTAACACCATTTTACACTAATCCATGATTGAAATGGTACTAAATACTAAATTGCAAACAAATAACTCAGCATACATATTAAATTTGATGTATTTAGTTAGCCTATCCGTAAAAGCATAATTTTCATCATTGGAGACAATCACGGAATGCCTATTGACGGCAATCATAGAACGGGAAATACGGGAATATTTAAACTAGACTTTGCAACCACTGACTATTCCATTTATTGTACATTGATTCCAATATAGCTGCTTTGTATAGTGACTATCAAGTTCATTTAACATCGTGGGCAGAACAAGAATTACGATTCTATGTACTGGTAAATTTAGCGTTATTGTCCTTGCATATTCTATTTATTCAGTTTATTTTGTGCCTCGCAATAACGATGAAACTATCATTTATTGCTACTAATGTACTGTGAAATTGATGAGTTGGTGAATTACAGTAGTTGTAGTGAAACCACGTTCAAGTAATGACAATACAATCTATGTATGACGGCATTGACCGTAATGCCTATTTCAAATTGGTCAACCTGGATTGAAAATTGTTTATCAATTGTAACCAAATATGTTTATATTTATCAGCTAATTTCATGACAACCGATCTGTATATCAATCTGTATATCTTTTTTAGATGTATTCACAGGAACATACCTGATATGATGACGTGTCTAGCGCATGGCAGAACACACTGCTCGAATTTGATGAAAGTCTATACTGGGGAGCCATGACACAATGTGTCGTGACCTGCTGTTGATCATATTATTCATCCGGGCGGAATAATATCGCCATTTAACATATTGAAAAAAAGGTGAATAAAACAAAACCTGCGGCAAAGGGTACGTAGTTCCAGTCGGTCGCCCATATAAGTACTAACCATGCTCGATGTAGCTTAACTGATCAGATTGGTGTATATTTAAGTAACACTTGTTTTGGTTTTGGCGTGTGGGTGATTGTAAAATGAACTTTGCTATTTTGTAAGCTAGGTATTTAATAGTACTGGTGTGTCAATCCCACAGAACAAATTCTCACAGTTTCAGTTTTCAAAATGTGGTGTGGTTGCATCGCAAGCTGACGGAAGACGCCGCAATTTCTCACTATACTGTTTGCTATATAACTGCCACGGTACACAACATTACTGGTAAAAGTCCATTACTTGGGTTCTAGTACACGTGTAACACTTTTATGTGGTTTTATTAATACATACGAACTTTTATATTGCGTAATATTTAAACATCGTCAACCTATAACATTCACCTTGTGACTTGCGTGTTGATGCTGCTTTTAACATTGTCAAATAACTATGTACACCCACATTACTACGTGCAGCTGAATACATTTGTATAATGCGAACATCTTACACATACATGTTCAGCAACGTAATGCAATTAGATGATTATGCACCATTTGAGTTATTGTGACATTATATCGAATAGAAAGTACTGAAAATCATAAAATGATTGGAACAGCGAATCGTGCATGGTTTTAAGGAAAAAAGGAGTCGCACAGCAATACGCACACACTATCGGATACATTTCAAATATGCAATATCAGCAAACTATTTACTACCGGTGACATCAGAGCGGATTGAAACTACTACTCGACGTAGTCACCAATGATGGTAACAGTGAATGTGAAGTAGTAATAATAATATTATTATGATTCTCCGATAAGCATTGCGTGTTGTTTAAAATAGTGCAACAATGTTTTTGTTCATATGAAAAACTAGTGGTCGAACTGAACGGTCGTCGTTGGCAGGTAACTTAGTAACTCTATCATGGAAATAAGCATGAATCGGGTGTTACAAGCAGTAAATTAGTGTAAATAGACAATGCATATGAATACATACTTATCAAGTTAAATAATGAAGAAAATAACATAAGCATTAACTTTTCTATGTGATTTACTTCATCATGGTATTTCTACACATTTTTCTAAACAAATATTCTATTAATTTCATTTACATGTCATAATATTTCACACATCAACAGGGAAGTTAAGTGAGTTGGAATCCACATTGTCACATTTCCCGCTCAGTTCAGTTTGGTCATTGACATAGTACATTATGTAAAAATTACACATCTCGTCTTCCAATGTGGCACTGTGAATACAAACAGATTAATTAACATGTTTCACTTACCACATACTTGTTATTACATTGTGTATATACATACAAAGTAGATACCCCTTTGCAAAGAGGCAAACCAAACACTTGTCATTAGTTATGTATTATACGAACCATTTGCTCCTCCAAAATAACTTAATACAAACATTTTTGATGATTTTCAATCATTATATATGTTGATTCATCGCTTTCAGCTTACAAGATTTAATTTCACTGACTAATGTAGCTGAATGCACCTACTATTGACGAAACGACTTCCATAGCTAATGATTACCCATTACCTTGGACAATGCAATTAACTGGTATTCTTACCCTATATAAGTTACAGTATCCTCCGTCATAGTATTATATGTACACCTAAGTGCCTGGAAATACATTGTACATGGTTAGACAGTTCACCCCAAATGGCATAACCAGTGGATGACTAAATTAGCGATTAAAGCTTGCGCCATTGTGGAGGTAAATCACGCGTGAGCCATCTTATATTTGAGACATTCGCATCAGAGAGGTCTGAATACTGGAATAAACATCTAGCATGAACAGTGACAAAAAAAGAACTATACTCACCAACATATCACCTTGACGTATATCTACGTTATTAACTACAGGATAGAACGCCTGCAACATTGTATATATAATATCAATACAAATACAGCATTCAAACCAAACGTTGAGTATAGGACGATTGGCCTTAGCATTTGAAAGAATTTTTTTTTCAGATACAATGAGCTTGTAATTAAAAACTGTTCAGAAGATGATTTCAGACTAGATTCCAGACATAATCATCTGATTAGAACTCAGAATTATATATGGCGGGTGCTACATGTGAACCCTGCTATGTCGTGTAGTGTAGTGTAGTGTAGTGTAGTGCAGTGCAGTGTATTGTATTGTATTGTATTGTATTGTATTTTAGTGTAGTGTAGTGTAGTGTAGTGTAGTGTAGTGTAGTGTAGTGTAGTGTAGTGTAGTGTCAATTGTCTTCGTATTTCAGTTAAAAAGCATTTTGTGTGCACACATATTTTGTAAATTTATGATTAGATTATTCGTCTAATTTAGATAAACGTATAAAGCTATATCCTCGACTTCAGATGCATTAGTGTTGTTGATACTTTTACTCTGTTTAGTATTATTATTATTTTGAATCTTCTCCAGATTGTCTCAATAGTATGTTTAGTAAATTCGGATTACATAATTGTTTGGATAAGAGCAGCGTAAATTATTATTTAAAAATAGACTAATATTATTGATAAAAAGCGAATTTGTTGTTCATACAAGATATTGAAATTAACTCTAGATACTATGTTTCTCTGCCTTTTCCAAACTATTGCAGTTGACATTCTAATCTGCTTAATAGTTGTATTTTGAAAGTGAATGTTAATTCATGTTTTTGAAAAGTTAAGGATCACAATGTTACCATCGTCATTTATTTCAATGTAATAAACATTATAGCTGGTTCTATCGTAATTTGCCAATGCTTTTTGCGAGTCCTAGTAATTTGTATCTGACAAAATTGTTGTTATTTGACACAAACGTTTATTCATTAATTTTTAAGATCCTCAGTTGGGAATGTAATCTCGTGGGAGTCCGTAAACGAGACATTATATCTCACTGACTTCACTATCAGTCTGGGCTCTTTGTCAACAATGAGTAAATACCGCAAGTCGAAACAGTTTAATAGTCAAACATCGATAATTAACCTGTGAGTTTATATTACAAAGTTACCAACACTAAGAA